TGATTCGCAAAAAAAATAACACCATTAAATTATAGTTATTGTCAAAATCCATAAGTTTTGTGATGCCTGGAATCCCCCGAGTTGTGAGACAGAATGCACTTGATATGATAAGCAGACCGCTGTCAGCTAAGCTCAACTCAGTGTTATCAAAGCGCAAAGCGCATTGCAATGCAAAAGACTTTACTTTTGCTCAAAAAGCAAAACGCAAAACGCAAAGCGAAACGACACTTTTATCAACCAAAATGTTAATAGCTTATACAAAATTATTAATATATAAATAAATTCATTAACAATTATAAAATATAGAATATGACATAAAATAGAAAAGAATGTGGGATAAAATAAAAAAGAATGCTTATTTCTCTTGAAAATTAAAAACTTGAAGTAAAATATTTTGGTATTAATAAAAATTTAAAATCTCACTAAAACCTAGCCTATTTTAGTTCTCCCTTATTACCTAAGAAAAAATTAACATAACTATTTACGGTTTACCTGCAGGCTACTTTGATCGAAAGGTCGATTCGACAAAGCAGTTCAACTTGTTGGGTTCGTTCGTTTTCTGGTTTCAAAGGCTGGAAGGCTCTCCCCCTCTTGAAGTCAAACAGGGAAGATCATATGGCATCTAGCTCTTCTTGAATCTTGCGGTCAAAGTTTGCTCCTCTCGAACCCTAGGCTGAAGTAGAAGAGCTCCCTAGTGCTCCACAAATACTAGACCACAAAATCAAACACCCTTTTATTTTCTCTTGCTACCAAACCAAACTAAGAGCTTAGCATCAGTGCTTCGAAGCACATACTTCGCTTGTAGTACCGGATAAAAGCGAAGCTAAGCGAGCATCACGTGTTTTGCTTCACTTTGCTTGTGAAACACGCTTTTAAAAATACTTGTAGATAACAAATATTTCTGCAGCCTACGTAATTATTCCAATAAAAAATTAGTATAATATATATAAAAAAAGGAGAAACTACTTCAAACAATTATCTCTTCGATTAACAATATCTTTCAATCATTTACACAGCCAATTGAAGCACTACAACAACGGACACAACAAACATCATAACTAAACACAACAGCAGCAGAGTTCTTCAAGTTCTTGAACCTTCGACGTTCTGATGCTTCGTTTCGTTATATTCTTCAAGCATATTGATGAGATTCCCTTCCGGCGCGCTAACGGATGGCAATATAGCTCGCCTTGGCGTCGACCGAACAGGAGGACTCTTCTCAAATACAATTGCTTCAGGCGCAGCTGCATCCTTCTTTCACTACAGGCAACTCCATCCCCATCCTCGCGCTCACTGATGTCATTCTTTCTTACCATATTCTTCCATCATTTAGTATGGATGGCTCGGGCATGGGACATCGCACAGGATGATCATGGTTGAGAGGCTCTATTGGGTGCTCCACCGGTTTAAACTCTACAGCAACCTCAAATCCATGGGTTGTAGAAACAGGAATTGGAATAGCAACCTCCAACTCCTGTGGCCTCTCTCTAACATCAGCTGCGCTCTGAGTCCTCCGATGTCGGCCCCTCGAAGAGAAGCAAGAGAAGATTCCAACCATATCCTCTTTATCTTCTTCTTATTCCCCTTCTTCCTGCACTCTCAAAACCGAAACCAAAATCGAACCATCGCGCATGTATTAACCCACGAACAAAAGGGTAGGTGACCAGAAGACCACTCCACCGGCCAGACAAAGGGCTGTTGAACAGATTGATCGATCGCCTAAAACATGAAGAAGGTGATAGTAAGGGAATAGAACGAATCAACTAATGGTTGCTCGCTTCGGAACTCGTTAGTCCAGAGCTCCAAATAGATGAGACGGCGAGGAAAGGAGACTGGAGTCTGAAAGTCGAAAGAGAAAACTGATCCGTTGGGCTAGAACTGGTGCTCCTAGTAAATGACATAGATTTGGCCATGTGGGTCAACATTCGTGGTGTGGACGGCAGCAAAGCATAGAACAGGGATGACAGGGAGGCCTTTTAAAAATACTTAGTCAACTTAAAATTATCTTCTTAGAAAAATATTTTTAAATCAATAAGATTCCCTTGGATGATAATATATAGTTGCTGAAAAGAATTATTTGGTTAGGTTGAGTTGACTATCATCATCATTTATCTAACCATCTTCTCTAAGCTGACAATGATGAATCTTACTCTGAAACTAAAATTGCTACTATTATATGCTAAATATTTCGCATCTAATAATTGATTTTAATCAAAAGTTCTTTTTTATCACTAGGAGAAATAATTGATAAAATAGGGTTGCACCTATAGAAAACTTGAAAATGCGAAATCTCTTTGTTGTGTTATTTGAAACTAATTTGCCTACTAGAGGTTTGACTAAAAAAAAATTAAGGGAGTTGGGCGCGAATTTTTTAGCCCAAAATAATAAACTCTTAGTTAAAATGAAGACATAAAAGAAAGATAGAGACATTAATTTAAGAAATTATTAAATGAGAACCATAAAAAAAAATTTAGAAGAATTTAATGAACAACATATTGAAATACATATTGATTAATTCAAAAATAAAGTATAAGTAACACAAGTGTTTGCTTAAGCGCGGGAGGCCTAGGCGCACCTGGAGTGAACCGGTGGAGGCTTCTGAGGAGTCGACCGACACTCCAAGCCAGGGAATTGCCGCCCAATTAAAGTGGACCCACTCCTAGTTATCTAGGGAATATATATTTTGATTTTGGATTGTTTAGATTTCAACTTTTTTATGTGTTTGTTTTGGGACAGTCATTGGCATCTCCCTTTCACCTCTAGGGTTGTATCGAAGAATTTTGAGTGGTGCACTGATTGTATCTCGTTCCCGAGATGAATTTTATCCTTCTGACACCCTCCCCAACCCTTTCCCGCACCAGTTTCCTTCTGCTCACCTCTCCTCCTTGCTGTTACCCCCCAGAAAAACCGCCCAGCTGCTGTTTTTCCTTATCCCGACTGCCCGCCAGCCCCAACCTAGCTGACCAGCCATTCCCCTCCTTCCTCCTTGCTGCCGTCCCCCAGAACTGCCCCTTAAGCTACTCTCACACTGCTGCCGACCCCCAGAAAATCTGCAGACCTGCTGTTTTTCTTTTCCTCTTGCTGCCGCCACATTTCAAACTCCTAGCTGGAATCGCCAACACTCCTGATGCGACCCTAGCTCTAAGTTTTGCTTTGTGTTGGTTGCAATTTTGGATTTCTACCTTGGGTGGTTGTAATTTCCTATTTGTATTCAACAATAATATTTGTTTTCTCTTGGTACCTGGTTAAACCTAGGTATCAATAAGGAGCTCTAAAAAAATACATATAGGTAAAGATATATTTATTGAGATTCGGTAAATCATAGAGGATGTTATAATAATCTAGTTAACAAATGTTTTCATGAAATTTTAAAAACTGAGAGAATGTTAAATATTGAAAAAGTAGTTTGATACCAATATTTGAAGAGGTGATCTTCAAAATTGTGTCAATTATAGAGGAATCAAACTTATGAGAAACAACAAAGCTTTATAAGAGATTAATGGAACATAGACTTAAAAAATATATCAATTTCAAAGAACCAAAACAGTTCATACCAAGAAGATTCATATGAAAGAGTTAAGAAAATTAAAGGATAAGTATAATAAACATACCAATGTTTTTTAAGTGAGATTAATCTTGAGAAGGCATATGACTGAACACCAAGTTAATTGATTTGGTACTTTGAGACAAAAAAGTGTCAGATATGACATTATTAAAGAGATTTATGAAGCAAAAATGATAAGCATTACGGGTAGTTATATAGTGACTCAAGAGTTTCCAATTACAATAGAATATCATTAAACTTCGACTTGAGTTTACATCTTTGATATTGGCTATGGAAATGCTCACAAGAGATATAAAAGCAAGGTGCCTTAACATATGATATGAAACATCCATTATGATATATTCTAATAAGTGAAACATCCACTATGAAATATTAGCACTGTGGCAAAAATATTTAGAAAAGGGAGCCTTAGTAGTAACAAAGCGTAAAATAAGTATATGATAAATAATTTTAGTAGCTATGATATTAATAATTATTATCCAATATTATTAGAAAATAATTGTAAATATCTTGAATATAAAATACAAAAGAATGGAAAACATAGATGACGACATAACTCAAAAGTTAAGGTTATATAGTTAGAATGGAGAAGTGACTTTATAGTTTTATGTGAAATGAAATAGCAATTAGTCAGAATGTTAGATTGTAAAATAGTCAATAATATCTACATTGAGTGTGACAAAAATAAGCATATTTGATAAAACTAAACAAGATGAATTATATAAAAAGAAAGGTTAGAGTGATATTTGAAGATAAGACAAATAAAAATAGATTGGAATAGTTTGAAATGTACACTAAGAAGTAGAAAGTGTGTCATTTGGCGGAGTTGATAAAATTAGCATTAGGGATTAGCAAAGAAAATGGATTAACTTAAAATAACCACACATAAGTTGTTTAAAACGGTTTGCAAAAAATAGTCTTAAACACCTTGAGCTCAAAAACACTTATCAATAACGAATGAAAAAAAAAAGAGAATTCATAATGCCAATGACAAATAGTTGAGATAAAGCTAATGATGACAATCCTAATGATTTTAACAGTTTGGGGGTTTCATAGCATGCTTGAAAGTATCTATTCTGATAGAATCGGACCAATGGATGAAAAGTCTAATCCTAAATGGATGAACTGCAGTACAAAATGGGTTTAAATATAAAACAAAATTTTGACGTAGCCTGAAAGAAATAGTAAAATGTGCATGACATTATGGTAGCTGTTGGCCATCCTGGAAGAAGGGAGCTCGCAATAAGCTAGAGGCTCTACTAGTCTAAATAGAAATTAACAATTAGATCTAAACCTAACTTGTGCTGAAGAGAAGTTAAACACTTTTCTATGAGACAGACAAACTCTCTTAACTAGAAAAAGACAAAATTTAGTTTGCACCATGATAATATGTACAACGCAACAAAAGAAAAACAAACAGGGACAATAATGCTACCATCTATTGTACTTCCTACAGCAACATTAGTTGAACCAATCCAATATAAGCCACATTCTGAATTGAATGATTTGGTACTCATAGAAACTGAAAGTTCAGAAGCCATTGATATACATGACTGCTCAGCATTGTTCGTCAATTTCTTCCGAGTTCTAACTTCAACTTGAGGAGAAAAATCACCCCTCTGAGCGCGGTACACTCTGTCTTTTTCGACAAGCTCGGAAACCTTTTGGTTGCAAATAGTAGGCCCTGAATCAATGAAATCATATGCATGTTTCCAAAATAAAGTAGGATGTAAACCTCGCGCCCAACTCTCTTCATCATCTCCAGCTCCAGGAATGTAATGCCAACTAAATTCTGAGGTGCTTCTTTGCTGGATTGTTCCATGAAATGCTGAAGCTGAAACCAGGATGATAGGTGTGAAATCCCATGAATCATATTCAGGTACTTCGTTCAACCAGATAACAGTCTTCTGAGAGATCCACAATGGACGCAATGGCTTTTTGATTGTTGATGCAAGCGAACCTATATCGGCACCACAAGCTTCCAACTGTCTCGTCCATTCCTCAACATGATCCTCTATAGCAGCTCTCTCGGTATCAGAAACCCATAGTGGAAGATGCAAGGAGCAATCCCAATAAGGTGAGATGTGCCTTTCCACAATCTCATTAGATGAGAGACTCAAATCCTGCAGCCAATGAAAGTTCAGGTATAGAAATGTACTTTAATCTTTAAGCATCTTAAAGGAAAACATAAAAATAATGATATAATTAAAGTTCAAATAGTAATGCAAGGGACATAATTAAATAATAATTTTTCAAAAACCAACAACACGAATCTCTACTATATAATTATATATTTACAGGTGTTAAAATTAAAGAGTTGGAGCCTAAAGATTAAGCGATAATGTAACACATAAGATTGAGGTGAGCAATTATATTTCTGCTTGTACAAAATACATTTCTCTTAAGCATAAAAATATTTATTAAATTAAATAAAATCATATTTGAATTGTTCAAATCATTGCTGGCATTACAAAGAATAAAAAAAAAAACTATCCAAATTTCAAATTCAGTATAATCATCTAAATAGTGTAACATATTTTTAACAACGTCCATATATTGCATTCACACTGAAAAGATTAATGTATATTTCAATAAATTAAAAAAAAGGTAAATGAAAATCAAATAGATTAATGTATAAGTTAATCACATGAGTCACCAAATTATGGAACTAGTTGGAGATGCTATTATACTTTTCCATGAAAATAAAATAAGAAAAGACTTACAGAAAAAAAAAAAAAAATCAATGAAAATGCATGCATCTTCATTGATATAGAAATTTGATGGTACTTTTGAGACTGACTTCCTAAATGAAATATATTAAAATTATTAAAAATATATTCTAATTAAAAATTGCAAATATTTGAAAGACTAATAAAAGTGAAATTTTAATTAATAAACATTATTTTTTACAGCATTTAAGTTGAAACATTTGCATAAAAGTTCAATATACAATATAATTATAATTATTGATTAAATAATAGTATAATTTAACTTGCTGTTTCACTGCTTATTTTAAGCAATACTCCATTGAATTAAAATGGAAAACAAGAGAATATATTTATAAAAGAAGGGAAACAAACGTTATTATTTCTATATTTTGCTTTTTTTTTTTACTAGTATTGTTACAAACTACATATTTTTATTTGTTTGAATGATAAATATGAACCCATGTGGTTTATTGCCTATTTACTATTTGGATGATTGTTGCTTGTGAGTTCATGTGAATGTTAGACTGATATGATGCTACCGCCAGGTTGTTCGTTCTCGCATTAATATTTCAAATTCCCAAGCCGGGCAACACAAATCAATCTATCAAGAAAGCAAAGTTTGTATTATATCATAGAACTCATTATATGATGAATACAAGTAAATAGACTTAGCCACATATCTTATTAGGGGAATTGAAATGCTAGTGAAAGCCATCTAACAATTATACTACTAAATATTGAAGTTCCAAAGCAAAGCTTCAATCCATCATCAAGCATTATACAAGGCAGGCAAATAAGTCTTAAAAAATACATAGCCCACTAAAAGATTCTATAAGCCTAATAGCTTAGCATATGACATTCTAGTTGATTGACTAATATCTAGTTGGTGCAAGCAAATGCATCTCTTCTTTTAAAAAAAAATTCTCCTCAAGACAAGCTTAAGCTCACCCTTGAAGATGTCTGTCACGATCCGGCTGAGGCGTAGAATTAATCAAGGTGGGAACAGACGGTCAAATGGTGGAATTAAATTTTCTATTATTCAAAGTTTTTCACTAACAGTTTAATATTCAAATATTCATTCAATTTTTTTATTATAATCTCCTCTCCTTATAAAATTTATTCATTGAAATTCATGAACTTCGCAAGCTAAAAAATGCAGATTAAACATGATCTACCCAAAAAATCTTCAAGAATGTATTATTCTTGTGGACTGATAAGCATATATGAGAAAACCAAAAATCTGAGATAATATAACTCAACTAAACAATCCCAATATGTCTGAAACATGACAACTAGAACAACACTCAAATGAGAAAATATAACACTCATAAAACTCTTCTAGCATTTGTATTAGTAGTAACATGTTCTATAGGTTCCTATTGAGTTAAGGAATAGGCTCTTAGTCGAATTTTCTGTCATCCTCTGCTGACCACTTCTAAAAAAGATCTCTCCAGAATCAATTCTTGAGATAGCATATGGTGTGGATCTCTAAGCACAATTAGGATAATTTCTCATCTAATGTTCAAACTATTTGCATAAATAATATACATTCAAACCAAATAGACATTCACCACGATGTTGTTTCCCAAACTTCATACAAGACTAAATAGTGTTATTGTCAGCATGACTAATAACTCCACTAGCAAATGACTTTATTTTCTTCATATTGGACTCTACATAATGAATTTTTGGTGTTGCTTCTTCAAAGTTCTTCCCCTTATGTGAATCCATATGCATCTGAGTTTGTTAAAAATCAATTTCCACCTGCCTAGCCCTCTCCACTAGCACATAATAGTCTTCAATCCCAAGTGGAACTAGTGGTTGGCTGATTGAATCCTTTAGCCAAAACAAAAACCTGACATTTCTCAGTATTTGGAACCAACTAGGGTGCATATCTTGAGAGCATATTAAACTCATTCTCGTACTGCATTGTCAAATGATCACTCTGTACCAACAGGATAAACTTGTCCTGTATTTGTTTCCTGGCTGATAGTGTAATGAACTAATCTCTGAATGTTCTCATGAACTCTTCTATTATACTAACTAGGTTGACCACTAAACTTCTCCTATAATTGTCCTTGCCACCATCTCATAGTTTCCCCCTCAAAGACAAAAGTTGTTAGTGTAACTCACCACTCTAGTGAATGGCATACCATCTATGATTTTCTCTACCCTCATTAGACAGTTTTTTACTTCTACTAGCTCTCCTGCTCCTGAAAATAACGTAGTCTTATACCCTGAAAGAACTTCAAATATTTATCCATCATTGTTCCTAAATTGCTACTAACGTGAGACTGAGAATGCTTAAACAGTTGAGTGACAGCTTTCATCATATCAAAAACTGTGCTCCTCCATTGCTACTAGCTTGAAACTGAGAATTCTTAATCACCTGAGTGACAATATTCATCATATCAGAAAACGCATCAGTGCTAACTATAACATTCTAAGACATATCAACTTCTACCACATCATCGCTTCTTCCTTCAAATTTTCCATATTTTTGAAATAACAACAAAATAATTTAATTAAACTCAATTAAAATTTTAATTCATCTTATTTATAACTTAATTCAATCATCCTAATAGCTTTTTCATTAACATTCTTGTTGTTTAGTCTAAACCTTGCTCTGATACTTTTTTTGTCATGGCCAGACCCGAAGCTTAGAATTAACCAAGATGGGAATGAATGGTCGAACAGTGGGAATTAAATTTTTTATTATTTTAATTTTATCACTAATAGTTTAATATTCAAATTTTGATTTATTTTTTGTTTAATTAACATTTAAAGTTCTATAATAAACTTTAATTAACAAATAAATCTTTTACCTTTCAAGTTGCTAACCTTGCCTTCTGGACATAAAATCTCTTCTAGCATTCATTTTATTTAAAATCTTCAATCTGAAAAAAATATTAAAACAACATAATGAGTAAACTAAGATAACCCGAAAGCAATCACAGTTTTAAACTACATTACCCAAAAAAAAAAAAAAATATTCATGTTGGTCTCTACTAATATATTCTAGAAAATCATATAATAATTTATAGCATACCTACTTAATGTTTGCTCATTGAAGAAATCTAGAACTTCCACATGCATTCTCTTTTACATTACTTTTCAAGGTATAATCGCTTAAGCTTTATATGCTTCATATTCTTAACTTTTAAATCAATCTTAAGAGCACCGTCAATAAAACCTAACAAATCCATGATTGATACTTTCATCGGCACAGCGGTTAGTAGAATATATTTACTATAAATACCTACTTACTCCTAACAAATATTATCACGCCGACACAGTGTTTTGTGATCTAATTTTACAATTTTCTGAGATAGTAGGATGCCTGCTCAATCCTCACTACAATAGTTAGTGATCTAAGTTTCACTATTGTCTGAGATGTAGTAGGAAAAAAATTTACGTGGGTATATTGGTGTCCCATGTTTGTACCATAAGAGGGTAAACTTCTCTTATTAGCATTCAAATACAAGAATTCATATATATACACTAATTCATATTTCATAACATACATTCTTTCTTACGATACACTTTATCTCTATCTAATGATTAATAAATATAATCTTACTAAATCTGTGTGTCATGAAATAAACTAATATAAAAACCTATATTGAAATCTACATATCATGTAGTCATATAACATCTTCTTAGGAAAACTATAATACAATTGTTTATATATAATTGCTAAAATACATGATTTATAATGCAATTGTTTATAGATAATTGCCAAACAATATAAAGAGTCAATTCTAATTTAAATCTCGATAATATATAACATAAAGTGCAAAAAAACTGAAATCAAAATACAATTAGAAATAAAAAAATATTACTATAATTTAGAAACATACCTCAAGTCTTATTTGTTGATCTAACAGACTTCTTATCTCTGAATCTCCTCAGTCCTAGTTCCTCTTAAAATTTAATATAATCTAATACTAATATTTTAATAACAGTATATTTAAATTAAATAAAGTTAACATTAACTTCAGTTAACTTATACCTTTAATTTTCCCCTCAATTTAATACATAAAAAGTAAATCATAATATTATATCAATACTTTACTTTTTCTTCAATTTCTAACATTAATTCATAAAAAAATACTTAATATGTTTAATTTATTAATTCAAACATAAAATTGAACTCTTGCCTCATCCATCATTTTTGTCCAAACTTTTTTATTTCTATTCCACTATTACTTCCATTTATACTCCTTGTTTAATTAGCAAAGAAAAATTACATTAACACGTAACTATAATTACAAATTTAATACATATAAAAGAAATCTATGTGAACAAACCCTAACCTTCTATTAGATATGCCTTGGTTTGGCCCTTACCTTTCTCAAACACAGGCTCAGATTCTTCTCCAACACGCAAAGCTGCACACACGACTCTCCTCCTTG